AGAAGAAAAGAGGCAGGCACGGGAAGCAGAGACTGGAGACAGCCCTAGGTCTAGGGACATCTGGAGCCAAAGGAGCTAGAAGGGCCTTTGGAAGGAATGTAAATTTCTTACTTCTGGTGTGAGAACGTGTGTATTTGTTTGCAGCACTCTGTTATGGCAGGCGCCAGAAATGAATATGACATTGATCATAGGGAAAGACTGAGGTCAGGGAGGGGAGGAATATGGTGGGGGCAGAACAGGGTACAGGCTGAGCAGTCACACCGGCTAACAATGGGCTGATGGGCACAGGAAGTGCAGGAGGGATATCCTGGTGGGACAGTGAGCAAACCTACCAGGCCATGGTGAGATGGGGTCAGCCATCATGGTAGACTGCTTCCCATTAAAGATCCTGCCTAGGACTTCTGCCTTGAACCAGGAAAACGGACTCCCTTCATCCCAGGGAAGGGCACGCTCAGTCCTAATCCTTGCAGCGGGACATGGTTAGGCCTTGCTGCTCTGACAGGTTTGTGTTCTGACTTGTCTGTGGATAGCCTCAGGCCTGCACTGGGTGGCAGGCCAGATTAGCTCTGAGCAGTTCCACCTGCCAGGAGCCCTCTGCAGCAGGAGAGCCTGTCTGGGCAGCTCCCTGTGGCACCCAGGCAGGGCAGGCCTTCTGCGGACCAGCCCAGTGAACATTCTGATGCAACATAGAGTATACTGGGAGGCCTGGGTAGCCCAGGTCACACACTGGCCTGGTTGCCTAGTATGTAGGACTGTCTCACCCCAAGTTTAATGCTGCCCCCCATAGAAGCCTGGGGCCAACTGACTGAGGGATTGTCTGTTCTTGGCTAGTTACTGCCACTGCCCTGAACTACCTTGGCTATCATGTCCACTCTCCATGGGTGGGTTTCTGGTCCCAGGTGTGACATCTGTTTGCTTCAGCCTGAGAGGCTGCAGGTACTCATCTGCAACTGAAGTTGTCTGGGGAGATGTTACTTCCTTCTTCTCAGGGGATAGGCTGTAGGGCGAAACACAGAATAGATGTGACTGTACACTCAGCCCTTGTCCCCAGAACTACCTTGAGCTACATTAAGGGGCAGCTGTGGCCAGTAGCAGGCAGAAGTCAGGGTCTTAGTCCCTCTTCACTCAGCAGCTTCTCAAGCAGGTCTTGTGCCTCAGATGGAGTAGTCGCTATGGGGGCAGGGGTGGAGGCCTAGGAGCTTCTGATCCTTCACGTTGTTGTCCAGGCCACCATCATGTGAGTAGGAGCCAGCCTGCCTCTTAGTACCCTGGGCAACTCTCGAGGTTCAAAATCAGGACCTCTGGTTGGAGACGGCTTCAGACTCCCAGGAGTTTCCCAAGCAGCAAGTGCTATAGATCAGTTTATGGCCAGGAACAGGTATGCTATCTTGGCCTAGTCTGCACCCTGTTGACAGGCACAGAGAGGAGGGCACTGAGGGGCTGTTCTTGCCAAGGCTGGTGAGAGGCACCAAAGAAAGCTCTAGAAGATTCCATCTCTTGCAGGCCAGCCCGAGGCAGGTGCTTCATAGAGGTGGTTCATTCAGTCTCCACCCCCACCCTTAAGGTGGAGGGAGGGAGCCCAGGAACTAATGGCTAGGGCTTGGGTGGTATTGGCCTCTCCAGGGCTGGCAGCGGGTGCCTGAAGAAGAGGGGATGGCCAGAATGAGAACTATCTCCAGATCACCCCACCCCTACAATGCTGATTGGCAGGGTAGAACACAGTGTTTCCAGCACGGGGAAGCCAGGAAGGTCCCTATGGGAAGGTCCTGCTGCTCCCTTCCTGTGGTCAAGGGACACTCGTCACACCCTTCCAAGTACAAGCAGGAACCCTCACCATCTTTTGCAGCAAATGACCTTGGTGGCCAGGCCTCAGAAAGAGTTCAGCTGTTGCTGACCATAGAGAAACCTATAGTACTCCCAGAGACTGGCGTGGTCACAGACATGCTGCACTTCACACCCACAGAAGCACTCCAGGAAGCTCCTTGTGCCCACACCCCTGCCAACCACAGAGCCAGTATAGGTGGCTGCTGTCTGTTCTTTCCTGAAACTCAGGGAAGCTCTGGTCCTCCCCTGCCCCTTCTCCTCTCCCCTCCTCTTGGAACCCAGGACAGCTCTGTCCTCCCCTGCCCTTCCTGGGAGAAGCTGAATGTAATGGAATCCAAAGGCAGAAGGCAAATACATGAAAGGCTTGTCAAGACAAATGCCAGGAACGGCTTCCCTCACTCTGACCCTGACCCACTCACTGCGCACTTTCCGAGCTCTCAGAGATTTCCTGGGGGTGGTAGCTTTGGGGGATCCCAGACCTGTGCCCCTCGATTTTCTGACTTGCCTCGGAGACCTCCTCCCAGGTGGTCTTGACTCTGGGGCTGCAACTCTAGTGAAAACAGCACAGTATGAGACTGGTGTGGCCGCTCGTCCCCTCTTCAGAAAAGAAGGAGGCAGGTGCACATGGCAGTAGCCAACTCGGGACAGCCTCGGTGCTGTGGATAGCACACTCCAATGGGAGTGGATACCAGCTGGAACAAGCTGCCCTGTCCTTATCAGGCCTGTACCCCTACTGAACAGTGCAGACAAAAGACAGAGTTGGCATTCCGGCCCAAAGTTTCCCAGAGGCATGGAGAACTCTAGTCAGGCAGCCAGAGTCTCCTCTCCTGAAAGGGGCCTACAGCATGTGCTATAGAGAGCAGTTCATCCAATTTTTATCCCTACCCTTAAGGTGAGACCACTGTCCTTTGCTTATAGAATTAGGGGGAGCACAGAGTGGCTGAGGTTAACCCTGCCCTCACCCACACACCCTTTCATGCTCTCAGCTTTGTGAGAGTAGCAAGGGACTCTGGTCCACTGATACAGCAGCATTTTTTGGGTTTTGTTTTTGTTTGTTTTTTCAAGACAGGGTTTCTCTGTGTAGCCTTGGCTTGCCCTGGAACTCAATCTATAGACAAGCATAGCCTTGAACTCAGAGATCTGCCTCCCTCTGCCTCTCAGTGTCTTGTCTGAGTATCTGGCCTTTCCAGTGGACCCCAGGCCTGCTAGGGACACAGAGGTCCTTACTGCTGGCTCTTCTGAGTGATACACTGGGCCTCCTCCAGCTAGACTCTTTCTCTCCCTTCCCTCTGTTAGGCTCACCACCTTCCACAGGGTCTTTCTTCCACCCTTGGAAGTCTGGCTCTTCCTCTGCAAGGGGCCCATCAGGTCATCTTCTCCCTCTGCACAATCACTCAGCCCCAGACCCTTGCCACCAAGGCAAATGTGACACAAAGGAGCCAGGTGAAGAGACTGGGAGTGCCCACCTTCAGCAGCCGGGCTCGAACCTGCAGCTCCTGCTGCAAGAGGGCCGTAGACCTCTGCACATTGAGGACAGACTGCTGATGTTGCAGGAGCTGCTTCCTACCACGGTGCAGGGACAAGTACACCTTCCTCAGGTACTGGATTTCCTTCTGAAGTTCCAGAGGAGAAAATCTCAGTTAGGACACAGGGGCAGGGAGGGGGCATCTGGACCTCTGCCTCTTGTGTTGCCTGGCCTTCTCTCCCCTCCATCGGTCTTTTGCCTGGCTCTCCCTGCTCAGCCTCTTGGCTATTGTTTTCCTATGCTTTTGGTCAGGAGGTCCTAGCTGGAGGCAGAAGGGGTACTTCAGTACTTATGCACCAAATGCCTCCTACATGGAGCAGCTCATCCCTGCCCACACTCCATGTGTTGGCCACTGCCCTGCCTCAAAACCTCTAAGACCTAGGAAACAGACACTGCTGCCATTCAGTGGTGACTGGAAGCCCCCAGAAGCCAGGCTACTTGTAGCAGGCCACAGCTAGCAGGAATCTAAGCCTGGTTTAGACCCAGGGACATATAGGGCTGTGGCCAGCATAGATCTGAAAACCGCTGACCACAGGCTACTCCTGGCACCATATGGTTCCAAGCAGCATTGGAGGAGCAAGAGCTCATGGATGTTCTGTGGCACAGGGTTATTTTGGGACCTCCACTGGGAGGGCTGAAGGGCCACTTCTGTGAGACCGCTCCTCGCCCGTGCCTACCCTTTCGTTCTCACGTCTGCTGAAGGTCTGTTGCTGCTTTTCATACAGAGTAGCCTGTGCTGCTTCATGTCCCACATTACCCAGACACCTAGGTGAGAGAAAAAGTCACAGGCAGCCATGAGGGTCTGTTTAGATACAGGAGACCCATAAACCAGGACCAGGACAACGTAGGTAGCCAGGTCCACCTAGACATTCCCCCGTAGAACAGACACCAGCTTCTGGGGGCCCGGGGGGCCTGAGGCCCCAGCCTGGGCTGTCAGTCTTCCCTCCCATCAAGTTAATGATTGTCTCATGGTCTAGGAGATTAAGGCCTAAGATGACAGAGCCTCCCATGTGGAGCCCACATGCAGGCAAGGGGTTCTCCACTGACACTAGGGCCTCAGCATGTCATGGCCAGGTGGCACTGGACTGTGAATGGAGGAGACCTTCAGAGGCTGGCCCCAACAAGGCCAAGAGGCTTTTGGATGCCTCTCACATATAGGAAATACCATGTCTAAGAAATCCTCTTAAGGAGACAGGTCCTCAATGTTCATAATGGTGAAAAGTTGGGTGCACGCTGAAAGTGTAACTGAGGACAGGCCAAAGGAATGTGTGGCCCATGTGTTGGGCAGTATGTGGTGATGTGAGGCCTAAGCCCCCATCAACACTATGAGAAACCCTTGAAATGCTACAAACATCACATAGAGGGGAACAATGTCATATAGAGGGGGGCGATGACTGTTTTTCATTTTAGTCTTATTTGGGACACTTTACTATCTTACCTAAATTTCTGCAAATACCTATCAAGGCTGGATCACTACAGCTGTCTTGAGGTGTTGTGGGTAGAGGCAGGAAGCACACTGACAGGGGCAGAGCGAGCCAGCCACAAGCACAAGCTCACCCTATCTGCTGCTCTAGGCAGGCCAGCTCCGCACAGGCCTTTTCCTCCAGGGCCAGCTCGCGCAGTCGAAGCACCGCAGTCTGGAACTGTGCACGTAGCTCTTCATCTCTCAGATTCTGCTCCAGCATTGCAGTAGTGACACGGTGGAAGTCTCTGGACCCTTCTGTTTCCAGCTCTGGTCTCGATATGTTCCACTGCAGAGAGGTAGACCAACCCAGTCTTGTCACTGCTGGGACCTCTCATGGGTAGGGCCTGCATGACCACAGTGTCCTGCCTAGCTTGGAGTGGGCATGAGGCCAGGATGATGATCTCAGGAAGATGCCACTTACTCCAAGAAGTCCTCCTGAATTTCCACCAGCTTATCCCCTTCAATGTGCTCCCTTCTTGGCAAAGCACCCTTCCTGACCATAAGCTCTCAGAGTATAGGCGAGAGTCCTCATCATCCTGGCCGCATGCCCACTGCAAGCTAGGCAGGACACTTGTGTATTCTCTGCAGAGTTTTAGCAAGGCAGTCTAGGCTATGCATAATCCTGCCCAACATACCCTGTATGAGGTCATGCAGACCCTCAGCAGTCACCCAGTGTGGGAAGGCAGGGTGACCCTCCCGAGACCAGGGCCAGTAGGACCCATTGCCCATCACCAGTATCGTGCAGCCTCAAAACTGTGCCCCATTCTTTGTACCTGGTAGGTAGGTCTGTCTGAAGGGTGAAACTTAGCTGGAACCAGCAGAGAGGGGCTTGTGTCCTGCTGCACTGGCTCTGAGAGAGAAAGAAGACCTTGGTTGGGCCCTGAGGGAAGCGGTGGTATGTGTTCAGGATCCTTTCCTACAGAAGGTCCAGACACAGTGTATGGGGCAGACAGGAAAGGCTCACAGCTGACCTATGACACCAGATCTTGAGGCAATGCTGGAGGGGACTGGTGGCCTCCTAAGCTGAGGCTCTGAAGTGAGACTCACAGTTGTATGCAGGACCAGACCAAATACAAGGTGCACAGAGTGACAGTCCTTGCTCTCACAGGAGACATTGAAGCCAGAGGGAAAGGATGTCCTGAGTCTGGTACCAAGCAGGGCCGGGCACTGATGAGCACAGATTCCGTGTTCATCCTGCTGACCCCTGCAATCTATCCTGCTTTGGTGGGTTTCATGGAGAAGGCCTTTTAATTAAAAAATAATTAAAGGATATTTCTGACACACCTCATCAAGAAAGAGCAAGAGGAACTAGATTCACCATCATATCTGAAAATGTGTTTTATACAGACTTATTTACATAACAGTTTCACAAATACGCAAGAACATTTTTGAGACACTTGATATCAACAGCCCAGCACAGTGCTCACAGACAGAAACAATGACAATATCCCAAGAGAGCTACAGTACAGCACAGGGACAGCAAACTGAGGTAGAGCGCCAGTTAGAGCAGACAGAGCTGAGTCTGGGGGATACAGGTAGCTAGGATCCATGGAGTGGTATATTAGAGACGGAACCACAAAGAGAACCCCGAGACTCTATGCTTCTAATGACCAGCATGTCTTAGTGTTCAGGTGAGAACTGACTGGGTCAGTGTAGATAAAGGACACCCAGAAAGAGGATGTGGGTTATGTGCCTCATGATCCATAGATCACTGGACAACACACAGGCTATCCTGCGTCATTTATGAAGTTTCATCAGCCCAGCCTTAGCAGTGATCTGGATCCAACTGGCCAGTTACAGAAGTAAAACTTGAAAGGATCAGATTAAGTTCAGTAATTACAGCTGAGGCCAAGGCTTAAGAATGTGTATAGAGACCTGGGTGTGGTGGTGCATGACTTTATTCCTGAGTTTGAAGCCAGCCTAATCTATAGAGTGAGCTCCAGAGCAGCCAGGATTACACAGAGAAAGAAACAGGAAAAAAGAAGTGTATATAGAGACTGTGGAGACTTCGGCTATAAATGAAACAGCTGTGTCCTAGCCCCTCCCTCAAGACTCAGAGATCTTCACGGAAGGAGCGGAGATCTTCTAAGAGCCAGGGCTGGTTCATAACCACAAGCAATCAGTGTTTCCTGGATACAAGGCAGCTGCACACATGAACTCACAACAATTGAGCTAGCATGCACAAGATCTGTGCAGACTCAGGCTAGTCCAAACCCTAGTGTGGAGGTGAGGGCAGGAAGTCTGATCATTGGCTCAGAAGCTGAGGGCATTTGGTAACTCCTGGGAAAGAAAGAATTGGTTTTCTTTAAGGGTGTGACCCTTAAGGTTCCAGGGCAGGGTCCACACCCAGGAGTATTTGGGAACACAAACTAGACTTTGGAGAGAGGGGAGTGGGAGGGAGAGACAGGGAGCACGGAGAATGTGAGAGTGAGGTTGGGTGGTTAGGGTAGGGGTGCATCTGAGTGACTTAGGGGGTTGAATATGATCCAAAGTACAGTTTGAAATTCTCAAAGAACTAATAAAATACCGTTTTTAAACAATCACGTGAATAGAAACAAAACTATCTCAAATTGAGGTAAAGTTTATTACAGCCAGCAGCAAGCAGAGCAACAGGGAGTCATAGCTAAAATCAGCTCAGAGATGGAGGCTACAAACTTGTCATAACTGGCAAGATGGTGCCACAGACAGAGAAGCTTGCTCCCAAGCCTGATGATCTGAGTTTAATCCCCAGGACCCACATCGTGGAGAGAGAAAACCAATTCCTGCTAGTTGAGAACTTGTTTTCATAGCTGTATTCATATGTTTAAAAGGTAAGTCATCCTTGCTGGGGAGATGGCTCTATGGTTAAGAATACCACCTGCTCTTCCTAAAGATTTAGGCTAGATTCCCACAACATACATGTAGGCAAAACATCCATATACATAAAATAAAACAATAAAAGTGGGTACAGCTATGAAGGGATTAAGAAAAGATCTGAATAGAATGCTGAACGTTTAAAACACTTCAAATGAAGACCACACTGATTAAGGGCAGATTAGACATTGCCAAAGAAAGAACTCACAGCATCCAGTGTAAAAGTAAGACCTGGAAGTCTTCCAAAACTGCAGAAAGTGATAACCCACAGACCAAAGAATCCTAAAGCCCAGCACACAAGCATGAAACTAGAGAGTGTCACTACAAATTTGTTTGAGAAACAGAAAAGCAGCCAAACAAATGGACACAGTGCTTGCAAATGAACAGAGGACTGGAAGAATGGCTTCCTC